TTAATGATGTGATATAATGGTGAATAATTAAATGTGCTTGTTCAATTGTTTTGATTGAATTAATATCACAAAGTTCATTTAATTCGTTAAGGTCAAAACTTAATGGTTGAAGTAAAGGAGAAGAAGGTTGATATTGATATTCATCAATGGTTTTAAAACATTTAGCAAGGATTAATGGAATGCAATAATTACTTTTAAATGTAATAGTGTGTAATGGATAATGAGTAATTCCAGCAACACAACAATAAGAAGATAATGTTTTAATCCATAATGCTAGTGTTTGTTTATTATTACATTCAAATTGATAATATTCATTTTCTAATAAATCAAATGTGATTTCTATTTTCACTGGATCAATAACTTCTTGTTCTGCACTCAGATAACATAATTTCCCATTTTTTAAGTTTATTGAAAAAACTTCTTTCTTTTTATCTTCATCTTTGTATAATATTAATTTATTACCTTCTAAAACGTAATAATATTTCTTGATTTTATTTGATAAATTAATTCGAATATCAATCCATCCTGTAAGTGGTAATTCAACACTCATTTCTTTCTTATCATTTTAAGTTTTTTTTTATTGAAAAACATTTTGAAAATTTTATTTCATATTAATGAGATGTTATTTATCCTTCTCTTTCTTCTTCTATTCTTTTCATTTTATTAATTCTATTAAATTCATCCAATTCAAACACTTTCAATTCAATAACCACATTTATTAATTCACTCTTCTTTTCTTAAATACTTTTAAATTATTTATTCTTGTTTAATAGATTTAAGTAATTAATGAAATGATGGAGATTATTCATAATAAATAATGTATTAAAATAATGAATTTCAATTTGATTTCTTTTTTCATTATGTTGAATAAATTATCAATTATTTCTTGTTTATTTCATTGTATAATTCTTGAGATTCTGTTTAAATGATGAATATTAATTTGGATAATTTATTGTAACGTTTTATATGTTTGAATTGAATGAAACATTAACAAATAAAAAGATAAAATGAATGAGAATATAATCAATTATTTCATCATTTCACTCATTTAAACTATCATAATCATGCAGTTATTTATTGAAGAATGATAATAATATTAAATAATAATGTTGATTATGTTAGAAAAATTGTATCAATTTAAAAACAGTTTCATGATAAATAAGAATGAATAATAAAGAATGAGAAAGTGAAATGATGATGTATTAAATAAAAAGAATAAGAATAATTAAATAATTTGAGAATAAAATAATAAGAAATAAAAATAGTGATAATATTTAATGAATCATATCAAAACATCTTTTTAGAAACAAATACAAAGAGAGAATAGAAATAATGATAAAGAAAATAATCAGAAAATATCATATTCTTTAATGGATATTCAATTCAAAAGAATGAAAAATAAAATGATAATTCATGGATAAAATAAATTCATAAAATGTTCTTCAAATAAAAGAAATAAATAAAACAAACAAAACAATATGAAATAAAAGAAATTAAACAGTTTAAAATAAATATTTTATTGATATTTCATTTTAAATATATTTTATATAATATGATTTAAAATTGAATGAATTTTATTTAAATAATAATATTTATTTAAGAATATGTTAATTATAAGATGATTAAATTTAATAGAAAAATTATTTAAGAAAATAGAATAATGAAATAATGAAGAATA